AGATGAAAGTTTAGAGGGACGGCCGGGTCTTGGTAGATTTGCAGTGGTCTGATACTCCTTCCATTTCAATATGATTGCTTGCACAGTGCTCCTTGGGATGTTTAAAGCTTGTGAAATCTTTTTGTATTCAAATCTGGCTTTAAACTTCTCCACAGTATATCGGACCTGCCTGGTGTGTTCCTTGGTCTTCATGATGCTCTCTGCGCTTTGAACAGAACCCTGAAACTATCACAGAGCAGGTGCATTTATACGGAGACTTGGTTACACACAGATGGATTCTATTTATCATCATCAGTCATTTGGGACAACATTGGATCATTCATAGATCCTCACTGAACTTCTGGAGTGAGTTTGCTGCACTGAAAGTAAAGGGGCCGAATAATATTGCACGCCCCACTTTTCAGTTTTTTATTTGTTAAAAAAAGTTTGACACATCCAATAAATTTCATTCCACATCACGATTGTGTCCCACTTGTTGTTGATTCTTCTAAAAAAATTACAATTTTATATCTTTATGGTTGAAGCCTGAAATGTGGCAAAAGGTTGAAAAGTTCAAGGGGCCAAATACTTTCGCAAGGGACTGTACATACATACATACATGTGTATATATGTATGTTTGTATGTGTGTAAACCGATCACCACTATCATTCAACAAAACTATGCTTTCTAGTTTTCAAATTTCTTCAAAGTATAGTTTCCTCAAACAATTGCAGTGGCTGAAAATTAATCTATGAAGGCCAAGGCCACCATTGAATCCAAGTTCAAGGTCACCAATCAAGGTTAAAGTTTATACAAGGTCTCTACTTGACTGGGTCATTGCTATAGCTTGCTGTAAAACAGTTTGTTGATGGACATATAATGTTCTGTATGTGGTACACGTTCTTTTTTACCTTCTTCGTGGTCATATTTTCACCATCTCCTCTGCCCCTCCTTTCACTTTTCTCTCCATGTTTCCATTATCCCCTTTGTAGCAGGCGTGGTTGTCTTCCCTTTCTGTCTGGTTTTATCATTTTCCATCTAGCACATACCGGCACACACGTTCTGTTTTCATCACTTTGTTTACAACCTCCATAAGAACCTCTCACCCTGACCTTTAACTTAAGTGTGGAACACAGTCTACCAAATTGATTTTCTGGTTTGCAGCTCCAGGCTTCCTGTTAGGCCACCCAGGCAGACTTTCAGACGACAGACAGGCAGAACGACAAGCATGGATGCTCTTCTCAGACGTCAATTAATAATAAATGGAAGAGGCAAACTTAGGCCTGTTCAAGCCACCCAAACAGATTCCAGAGCCCACACACTCACCTCAAAACCTTTCTGATCAGCTTTCCCTTTAGACTTTGTTCTTTCTGTTGAATCTTCTCTGTTTACTTTAATTTTCCTACTCCTGTATTTCTTCCAAAATGTCTATCCTCTTATGTCCAGCTTGACTTTATAACCTGTGAATCCAAATTTCAGTTTCGGGGACAATTTGAAACTACATTATATCTTAAAATACTTCTATATGAATATCATCTAAAGCATGTTACAAAATATTTAGGCTTTCAATTAGCCCAGCTTGCTTTAAAGTGAATTTTTTTACAAATAAAAATATATATTTTTAGTTTCAGTAAACTTTTTGCACCTTCACTTCCTCTGTTTTTCTTTAATTTGCCATAAAGTCAGCAGGAATTGAAGTGCTACATGGAACATTGTAAGAGCCTTATTATGTTTTTTTTTGTTTATCAGGCTAACCTTGCAGTGCAGGAAAGTCGTCTGACCGTCGCCAACGTGGACCTTCAAAAAGCTCAGTCTGAACTGGATGCGAAGCAGGCAGAGCTGGATGTGGTGCAGGCAGAATACGAGAAGGCCATGATGGAGAAACAGGTTAATTAATTTTCTCAAAACACAGCTAGAAAATCGATTTTGTGGACGAATTTGAAGCAGCAGTTAGATTTTAGGGCAAAGCAATGTGGTATTACTTCTTTAAGATGCATCTTCACCTTTAAGGACATAAAATTTTACTATAAAAATTCACAACATAAAAGGTTTTATTCAAGCTTGTGACTTATTTGTAAGCTGTTTTACATATTTTAGATATTCTATTTGTCTGCAATGAAAAATTATGTTTTAATCTGTTTTATTTATTTAATATATTATATTATATTAAAGGAAAATATAGAGCTAATTATTAGTTTGTAAGTTTATAAAACATGAAATTTAGCTTAAATCCTGGATTCAAACATTTATTTCTAGTTCATGTTTCAGATTAAATTTGGACCTACACTATATCCATCCATCCATTATCTTTACCCGCTTATTCCATTTTGGGTCACGGGGGTCGCTGGTGCCCATGTCCAGCAATCACTGTGCGAGGGGCGGGGTACACCCTGGACGGGTCTCCAGTCCATCACAGATCCACATAGAGACAAACGAGACAAACAACCATTCACTCTCTCACTCACACCTAGGGAAAATTTAGAGTTACCAATCAGCCTAACATGCATGTTTTTGGTCTGTGGGAGGAAACCGGAGCACCCGGAGAAAACCCATGCATGCACAGAGAGAACATGCAAACTCCACCCAGAAAGGACCCTGGACCGGGGTTTGAACCAAGGACCTGCTCGCTAAGAGGCTGCAGCTCTACCAGTTGTGCCACCATGCTGCCTCCCACACTATATGTGTTCAACAAATTAAATCATCTAAACAACCTCAGCCCTTACAGCTGGTTTCTGAAGATGTAAACTAAATGATAGTTGTCTGCGACAATCAGACTGAACAGAAAAAGCTTCTTAGGAGAGAAACAGAATGTTTTAAAGAATAAGTCCAATAAAAGGGCGGCATGGTGGCACAGTTGGTAGAGCTGTTGCCTCTGAGTGAGAAGGTTGCCAGATCAAAATCTGGCGACCCTCTGAGATTTGTCTCAGCTGGGGGCCTTTCTGGGTGGAGTCTGCATGTTCTCTCCTTGTATGCATGGGTTTTCTCCGGGTGCTCCGGTTTCCTTCCACAGACAAAAAACATGCATTTTAGTCTGATTGGTAACTCTAAGTTGTCCCTAGGTGTGAGTGAGAGAGTGAATGGTTGTTTGTCTCATTTGTCTCTGTGATGGACTTGCGACCTGCCCAGGATGTCCCCTGCCTCTCTCACAGTGACTGCTGGATATGGGCACCAGCAAACCCCATGACCAGAAAGGGAAGAACGGGGTAAAGATGATGGATGGCAGTCCATCATATTCAGGTTTTTGTCCCCCATCACTGAGCAAAGAGGAGGAATTGAAAATGCCCTCCGTCTGTCTGAGCATGTTTTGAGCATGAGAATTTGAAAATCAAGTAAGAAAATTGGGTTGCCATGTCAAAATCCAAGATGGTTACTGCCATAAAGGTTTGTCTATCTTGTGAGCTGGATAATATCAAAAATATGTGAGGTAACAACATCCAAGTATGTGTGTAGCTACACTTAGACCAAAAAAAGATTCATTTTCAAAGTTGTGTTGCCACATCACAATCCAATATGGCTACCTCCATATACATTTACAAACCGGCAAGCCTAGCTACCCTTGGGGTGGCTGAGTATTATCTATGGTGGCCAAGGCCACCATTGTCCACCCCCTTGCACATGGTGGTGGATAAAAAAAAAATCCTCCACTCGGCAGAATCCATCACGCTGTGCTGCCTCAGACAAATAGAAAAAAAAAAAAAAAGCTTGACTCTTGCTTCAAAAACATTAAGGTTTACTTGCATTCTCTGTTCAATCCCAATTCAAAAACACTCGCCTTAAAACTACAAACTTTCACTATTCAAATCTTTCAGCGATGGGGGACATTGATATATCACGTATCGACGTACTGATGTATCGACGCATCACGTATCGACGTATCAATGTATCGACGTATCCACGTATCCACGTATCGACGTATCGACACATTACTTGATTAAGATTACAATGTCCTGGTTGACAAAGATTCACCAGCAGCATGCTGCTTGTGGTTCAGGATGTCACAAAGAACAGATGTTTTAACGTGGGGCTGCTTTTTCGAACATTATTGCTGACAATTTTTTTGTTAGCCTTTTAGTATTTATTTAACATTTCAGAATAATCACTAAAGTCCATTGTAAAAAAAACTAAGCCCATTAAAAGAATTGTTAAGACTGAAATGCTGCTTTAAATATTTGTGATAAACTAAAAGAACTGAGACTGACTCCGCATGACTTAAGAGCCATGTTTTATTGTGTGTAACAAACATAAGCACTTTGTGAGGCTGCAGGATTCTGAGAGCGTGTTCAGTGTTTGCTCTTTATTCTCAGAACTCTGCTCTGTCGTGAACATCAAATGTAAACAAAACAGCATGTGTATCAAGCTTTTCTCACCCACAATGCATTGCTCACAGATATCTCTCACTGTGTTTAAACATACAGTTCAGCTGTTTTCGTTGAAATAAGAGATCATCCTAACCTTCAAATGAACTGATTGCATTTGCAGGCACTCCCTGTCCATATATAGTTAATTTAGGTTTTTATGAATACACGCTGCTGTACCAAGAATAAAGAGATAAATACGAGCTGGAAGAATAAAACAGTAGGATGGACAGACCACAGTGAATGAACACATTAACAAACTAATGTCTTCTTGGTCCATCCATGTTCAGATGCTACTGGAGGACGCCGAGCGCTGTAGACACAAGATGCAGACAGCGTCCAGTCTCATTAGTGGACTTGCTGGTGAGAAGGAGAGATGGACGAAGCAGAGCAAAGAATTCGCTGCTCAAACCAAACGCCTCGTCGGTGAGTTTCACAGCAGGAGGCACAACTTCCTTTATCACACACATTATTTGAAATCCAGTCATTGGCAGTCCTGAACAACTGACTTTCAAAAAATTCTGAAGATTTGCACAACTAATACCTTGGTTCTATTTTTAGGAGAAGTCCTGTTGGCCACAGCGTTCCTCTCATATTCTGGCCCCTTCAATCAGGAGTTCCGTAATCTTCTGCTGAGCAACTGGCAGCAAGAGATGAAGCAGCGGTGCATCCCGTTTGGAAACAACCTCAACCTGACGGAGCTTCTCATCGATGCTCCCACCATCAGTGAATGGACCCTCCAGGTCAGTGAGGTCCACACGTATCCATCCATCATCCACCTATCTGTCCATCCACGCATCCATCATCCCTCATTCATCTATCCATCCATCCACCATCCATCCATTATCCACCCATCCATCATCCACCCATCCATCCATCCATCCATCCACCATCCACCATCCATCCATCCATCCATCCATCCATCCATCCATCCATCCTTCCATCATCCATCCATCCATTTATCCATCCACCCATCCATCCACCTATCTGTCCATCCACCCATTTATCCACCCACCCATCCATCCACCCGTCATCCATTCATCCACCATCATCCATCATCCATCCATCCATCCATCCATCCATCCATCCATCCATTATCCACCCATCCATCATCCACCCATCCATCCATCCATCCATCCACCATCCACCATCCATCCATCCATCCATCCATCCATCCATCCATCCATCCTTCCATCATCCATCCATCCATTTATCCATCCATCCATCCATCCATCCTTCCATCATCCATCCATCCATTTATCCATCCACCCATCCATCCACCTATCTGTCCCTCCACCCATTTATCCACCCACCCATCCATCCACCCGTCATCCATTCATCCACCATCATCCATCATCCATCCACCATCCATCCATCCA